ATTATGCTTATTTACGTAGGTCATTTGCATATAAAATAATTTTATTGGTTGAATTGTTCATTAAAAAGTTATCAAACTTTATTTCATTCCTAATCGATATATACGTATTAAAGTCAAGTCAATTAATATTTATAAATTTACTTTTTAACTTTCGTATGAATGTAAAGCGCAGAAATGAATTAATAAAATTTCTTCGGTTTATATGAAAATTTCAGAATATATGCAATTTATTATTTCGGACAGCTTTATTTAAGATATAAATATTAATTACTTAGTAAAAAATTTGACTTTAATATATAGCTACGATTATCGATTATATTTTGTTTGGTGGCAAATTCTGATTGGCTAAATGGCAATAGAATATCAATTAACATATGTTAAATGACCTTCTAAGTCATTTGGGTCTCGAAATGACCCAATGACTAGTCATTTGTCATTTGGGTCATTTCAGGTCATTTACCATCACTGGTTAAAAGAGAACTTTACAAAAAAGTTAACAACAGAGGATACAGTATCTTTATTTGATATTAAATAAAACTCCCATGTTTTTTAATTAACGCAGTAATGTTATTTAATAAATCAAAAAAATTTATCACTATCAAAACAAATGAATTTCAATTTTGATCGATGTTTGGTGATTGACCGAATTAAAAACTCAACGAATGAAGTTTATTTCGATGCTCGAATAATTATTCACCGATTCCATTCTCTACTGTCGAAACGTGTAACGCAGCGAAACCTAATAAAGACATACGAAGCTATCTCACAGTTCTGTGATCTCCAAGCCATTCGGATTTAAATTAATGATAAATTCCTTTCTTTTTTAAATGACAGATTTAATTAAATAAATATATACTGATATATGGTTATGGATTTGGCACACAGAGATCATAGGACTGATACTTTTTTGCATATAGGTTAAGCTTCGTAAAAGTTAAAAATACGACATTTAATTTAATCAAAGTACACTTTTTTTGAATTTTGTTAATAAAACTTTTTTTGTTACTGTCCAAAACAGACGTATTGATATATTTTATTATAAAGATAAATAAACTTTTTGTGGAATCTTCATGAGGTTATGTACTAAATTATTTGCAACTATACCATATTATGAGTTTAGTATATACTCAAATGCGATTTTTTGTAGTATACACCACTTTACTCAATCATACACCACAACTATTCGTAATACAGAATATGAAAAGAACTTAATAAACCTTTTCTACCTTATACAAAACTAGCACTATATAATTACTTATTGATTAATCATCAAATTTACCATCTGTAAATGTTATTAGTTTTTGTTAAAAATAAGTTTATAAAATTGTAGCCAAAAATTAGTAATTAGTTAATTACCTTGATAAAACGAAGTAAAATACATTAACTGGCTTTTATAAAGTTCTTCAGAATATATTTGTTTATTTGTATTTTTTAATATCTTTTCTGATTCAGAAAGCTCCAATAAAAATTTATTATCGTTTTGCCATTTTATTAAAATTTCTTCAATTTTTACTGCCTTTGGACGTTTTTCTTGTTCCTTTTCCCAACATTCTTTCATTAAGTTTAAATAGCATTTTGGAGTATCTTCAACAATGTCCGGCCGTAAATTATTATTACATATATGTAATTGAAGTTGCTTATCAAATTTTTTATCGCAAAATACAGGCTTTCCAGATAAAATTTCCCACATAATTATGCCGAATGAGTAAATATCAGATGCTGCAGTATATGCTTTCCCGTTCAAAACTTCCGGATCCATATAGGGTAATATTCCATAAACTCTACCAGGTTCCATTTTTAATTCAATGTTGGCTGATATTGAAAGTCCTAAATCTGAAATATATGCACTATGTAATCTATCCTGTAAAATGTTACCACTATGTAAATCTCGATGAATGATATTTTTTGAATGAATTTCCTTAAGATCAGAAATAATGCAAAGTAAAAGCGTTAATTTATGTTCCCATTTCATTTGCGCTATATCGTAAAGATTTTTACGCAGAGAACCCATGAACGCATGTCTTATGACAAGTATGTAGTCTTCTGAAATATCATGTTTTGATATCCCATAACATTCTAAAAATGATGGGTTATTATGGCCAATGTCACAATACGCTTTCAACTATAATACCAAGATCGGTTAATAAATATTTAAATCATCATAAATCAATGGAAGATATTGAAATTACCTCTTTTATAAACTCTTCATGATGTTTTTTTGATCCATGTAGTAATTTAAGTGCAATAGGCCGAGTATATCTTTGATGCACGTTAAACCAATTAGCGTGATACACTGTCGCAAATCCGCCTTGCCCTATTTCCTTAATATCTCTAAATTCACTATAAGGAATCCAAAATAATGAATATTTATTTTCAAGTAGCAGTTTTTTTAATTCACCATCGATATCAGAATTTCCATGCAACCATTTACTTGTAGCTAAAATTGATTAGTTATTAATTTTTAAATCATCAATTTTTGATAAACAAAATATCTAAAATTACCTAATAATTTGCTTCTTTCTCTGTTTAATAAAGCAAATATATTGTTAACATGGAATCGTAAAAAAATTCTAATAGGAACTGTATATTTCGAATAAAAATAGTGTACTTACATTTGATACCAGTAATTTGCATTTTGCAGATTTCTTTTTACTCCAATTCCGTTTCGATAACAATTAGCTACTGCAGATATTCCAATAGCAAGTCCCATATCAGCTGATTTTTGATAATAAGTAAACATTTTATGTTCATCCTTTTCAACTCCAATCCCGTTTCGATAACATTGCCCAACCATATATACCCCCTCGTCAACGCCCATATCAGAAGCTATTTGATAATAAATGAATGCATTATTTTCATCCTTTTCGGTTCCGATTCCATAATGATAACAATAACCAACATTGAATATTCCATCAGCAATACCACTATCGGCTGATTTTTGATAATAAGTGAATGCCTTATGCGCATCCTTTTCAACTCCAATTCCTTTTTCATAACAAACACCAAGTGCATAAAATCCTTTAGCATTACCCGTATCAGCTGACTTTTGATAATAAATGAATGCTTTATTTTTATTCTTTTCAACTCCAATTCCGTAACGATAACAATTACCAACATCGTAGATTCCATTAATATCGCCCATATCTGCTGATTTTTGATAATAAATGAATGCCTTTTTATCATCCTTATTAACCCCGATTCCATGATGATAACATTTACCAACATTATATGTTCCATTAACATTTCCCATATCGGCAGACTTTTGATAATGAATGAATGCTTTATGTTCATTCTTTTCAACTCCAATTCCGTGACGATAACAATTACCAACCGCATATGTTCCGCGAGCATTACCCATATCAGCGTATTTTTGAAAATATTTAAATGCCATATATTCATCTCTTTCAACTCCAATTCCATTTAGATAACAAACACCAAGGTTATACATTCCTTCAGAAACACCCATCTCGGCGGATTTTTGATAATGAATGAATGCCTTATGTTCATCCTTTTCAACTCCAATTCCACTTTGATAAAAATATCCAACGTTGTATATTCCATTAGCATTGCCCATCTCTGCAGACTTTTGATAATAATCGAATGCCATATGATCATCCTTTTCAATACCAATTCCATTTTTATAGCAATTACCAACACTGTAAGCTCCACTAGCATCGCCCAAATCAGCAGATTTTTGATAATGGATGAATGCCTTATGTTCATCCTTTTCAATTCCAATTCCTTTTTCATAACAAGCACCAAGTGAAAATATTCCATTAGCATAACCAGCATTAGCGGATTTTTGAAAATAAATGAATGCCTCATGTTCATTCTTTTCAACCCCAATTCCGTGACAATAACAATAACCAACATTATTAATAGCACGAACATAACCCATATCGGCAGCTTTTTTATGGTAAGTGAATGCTTTATACTGATCTTTTTCAACGCCAATACCAATTTTGTAACAGTCTCCAACTGCAGCCATTCCACTAGCATCACCAATATCGGCGGATTTTTGATAATAAATGAATGCTTTATGTTCATTCTTCTCAACCCATTTACCGAAAAGATAGCAATCTGCAAGAATGATTTGAACTGTAGGATTGACTTGATCATTTAAACACCAATTAATAACGCTGTCTGGATTAAGTTTCTTTTTTGTTAGAAATTGATCCAATATGTCAGAAATTGCTTCGAAATTTTTGCTTTTCGATTTTTCTTCAGTATATAGATTGCACAATTCTTTAACGATTTCATTATAAAAATCTTGTGGCTTATCATTATCTAACAAGTTGTCAATTTTTTCTGGCTGTTCGGTATTTAAATTCTTTGACATTTTGGAAGTAAGAAAAAAATTTTACAAATTTTATGCGCCTAAAGGTGATTCAGCCGTAATAGTTTGGAAAAAAAAATTTTTAAGCTGAGATTGGTATTGTAAAACGTGAAACAGAAAATCTGGTTACCATAATTTTGTACAAAATTTTAAAATAGGAATGTATTACATTGGGACCGAGCTACCACACCAAAAATGGAATAATTAGTTTGGAATACGTAAGAACCACAATAAATCCGTAATAGTAATAGTGTTTTTAAGATGTATCATGTTGTGCTTCAGATCAGTTCATTAATAATAAATACCACTTTATCGTATGTTTGCCTTTCCTTTACATAGATAAGAATATTAAATTTTTTTGTATATTTCAATCAAAATACAATAAAATTACACCTTTTTGTATTTGATCGGTTAGAACTAACTTTTTACGTGCATGGCTCATAGTTTCAAACGCAATCTTTTTTGATGTTCACTAATCCTTTTTAGTAATGGTTTAATTCCCAATATGGTTTCATTGTATACTGCGCTTTTTACAAAATTGTTGTCCATTTGTATAAAATATTAACCACCTAGATCATTAAAAGAAGATACTTCAAGATTGATTATTGTGTTTGTGTCTGAAATAAAATATTTGCATATTCTTGAGATAATAATTTGAATAATATCAATTTGATAGGTTTTTTGATAAATGGTTAAATTTCCATTCGAGTTCCTGGAACTCGGTGGAAATATTAATAGCATTTATTAATAGATCCTTAGAGTCTTTTGGAGTATATGTTAATTTCACATGTAAATTATCATATCCATTATCTATAAAAATAAATGATTAAATAAAAAGAATATCATTTATTATTTAAAATCAAAAATTTTACCGTCATATGTGGAAAGATTAATCATAAGAAGATTCCAAGAAGTAAATGCTATGTTTATATGCACTAGCATTATATTATTCGAGAAGCATAAGTACGATTGGTCATGTGATTTGAAGAATGCCGGCACGCCAAAGGTGCCGGAAATAAATTCAATTAAAGGACTTTAAGTCTGCAGAATACATTGTGAGCAATTTGAACTGAGTAATTTGAGCTGAGTGATTTGAACTGAAACGATGATATGCTCCCGGGAAAATTAGCAAGTGAGATTGCGCCCAGGTATCATCGTAACAGTAGAATGAGTGAGAAGCAGCATCAGCCGGTGGTTTCCCGCCTTCTCGAACTGCTCGAAGCAGGACGGCTGTTAAACAGGAAAATGGCAGAATCAGGAGAGTGTTCCCATGTGTGTGGTGGGAAGGGTTGGGTCGAGAAAATGACGTTATAATGCTTGATTGTGTTGCAAGGGGAAAGAGACGAATGTTGGGAATTGATTTATTCATCGTTTCTTTTATATTGATTGAGATCGGTGGCTTTTGTTACGCAGCTGTGTTCGCATGAGAAATTGATATGGTCTGATGTCTCTTTCTGTTACGTAGCTGTGTTCTCATGACAATCGATATGGTCTGATGTCTTTTTTCAATTACGTAGTCGTGTTTGCATGAAAGCTGATGTGGTCTCTGTTCCCAACTTCCGTCATTGGGGCAGGGTTGTAGCACGTGACGTGTAACCCTGACCACTCTCCTTTGTCTTTTCGATCAGTTGACTTTTTGTCAACATGCATGGTAATACATTAAGCCCACCATTTGAGATACTAGGCTTCAGCGGAAAAACCTAGTTGGCTAGACTATTATTTTCGTGATGAAGACGAAAGGTAAATTTGTAGCTTGTCCATATGGTGTATAGTTGTTAGACGAAACCTTTTTCACATGATGACGAAAGACAAAACCTCTGACAAAAGTCGAAATCCCAAATTCTTCTGACCAAGGACGAAACCTTAAACGTAAAATGACGAAACTTTATGCTCAAAAGGATGAATTTCTAGCGCTCCCACTAAAAAAAAAAAATTTTTTCATTGAATTAACTTTTATAATTTATTCAGATATTAGTATCTGAAATTACATGTATGTCAGCAAAAATAAATCAGTTCATTTTTTCTGGACAACGCTAGGGTTGTTATAGACCAACTGAATAACCTTAATCAGAAAGCCATAGTACTCATGGAATAATGTAAATAACGAATTAAAACATACTGGCATAAAATAAATTTGTAAGAGCACAAAGTAAGCACCAAGCGATTCCTCACTAGAACTGATATGTAGTGCACTAGTTTATAAAATCCTCATCTTTAACTCCCTTTAAACAATTCAAGCGCCTATTATATAATAAAATTTTTTATTAAATAAGTGCATATCCTCTAAAAGACAATAATTTTCAAAACCACATATTCAGGGTCGAAAGTTGGATTTACTGTTTGAGACATTGCTGCTACTACAGATCCAATAGAGAAAAGCGTACGTGTAATGAAGTTTGTTCGTGATTGCATTAGTAGTATTGATGAATAAAATACACATATGACCAGAAACATGTTATTCCGTTTAATAGATCCCATAGTGCTTGATATAATATAATTTTATTGTTTGATTGTAACCCAATAATGTGGAATATAATCCTCCGCCTTTAAATGTAGAATTTGTTATCATATCAACATAGAGAATATTTAAAAGTATCTAATAGTATCATTTCAGTACGTTGTAATAAAGTGACACTATTATCACTAAAATAAAAAACACGAGTTGTGTATGTAAGCATGTGACTGACAGACATCAGATCACTACACTACATATTGTCTTAATTCTATTTCACTTCCACGCCCTTGATAAATAGGCACTCTATGATAATATAGAAATCTTTTCGAGGATCAATTTTAATAGCCATTACAAAACCATCTATGCAGTGATGGTAAATGACTTGAAATGACCAAATGACCCAAATGACAAATGACTAGTCATTGGGTCATTTCGAGACCCAAATGACTTAGAGGGTCATTTAACATATGTTAATTGATATTCTATTGCCCTTTAGCCAATCAGAATACAAAATTAAAATATAATCGATAATCGTAGTTATATAATAAAGTCGAAATTTTTACTAAGTTAATTAATATTTATATCTTAAATAAAGCTGTCCGAAATAATAAATTGCATATATTCTGAAATTTTCATGTTAATTCACTTCCGCACTTTACATTTATACGAAAGTTAAAAAGTTTTTCAATTTATAAATATTAATTGACTTTGACTTAATACTTATACAGTATATCTACGATTATCGATTAGGAATGTAATAAAGTTTGATAACTTTTTATATGAACAATTCGACCAATAAAATTATTTATATGCAAATGACCTACGTAAATGAGCTTACCCCGGACATTTCTAAATGATCATGGTCTTGGTAACGAGTCATTTCCAAATGACCCAAAATTGAGATGACCGATGATGACCGTCATTTCGGAGTCATTTGAGGTCATTTGAAAAATTTGCAAATAACCAGGTCATTTACCATCACTGATCTATGCAATGTTAACCAGATAGAAACAGAAAAGATGAACCAAATTTGACTTTACTATCGCGGTTTACAATTATAATCAGTTGTCAATACTACAACATTTGAAACTAATTATGCTTTTGACAAGTCTTAAATTTTTCTATTCTTATCTGTGAAAGTTGTATTATCAGAGTAATTACTAGCATGAGTGTATTTCACTAAAATGCATTGGTAAGATAATAGGCATATTTTGCATGTAGCTTTCAGAATCCAGTATATGACAAGCTTTACAATAATTGATCTATTGTATTTCCTCATTATCAAAATCTATTTTAATAACATTCCCATTTGTTTCAATAACTCTAGTAATAATCTCTGCTCAAGACATGTAGTATTATTCTGATTGATTCGAATAAGTACAGTGCCGTCTTGATAATGACTCATGTAACAGACAAGAGGTAAATGTCTAGTAAAATTTGATATTTATGTATAGATAAACTTAGAGTATTGATATTTTATGTTATTTTGCGCAAATTCCATCAGTAAGATAACCAACACAGATATAGTAATAACTATGAATAACAAATTATGAAATTCTGTAGATACTTCATTTCATAATCTTGTCTCCAACAGCCCTTTGTTGCTTTTATATTAAAACTCCAAAACTGCAATTAAAAAAAGGGTTGATATTTAGTATAGGTGGGAATATATAAATAGTTTAAGATTATTTAATATAAAAATAATTATTTGAACTAATCTAAACAGATTTGAGACTAGTTAGGGTTAGGGTGAGGGTCATAGTAT